AGTACCAGCCCGCCTGGTGATTCCTTGGCTTCCATCCCATTTATAGATGAACCAACTAGCCCTAGCCTTGACCATGATATTGCACACATCCCTGCCTCTGCTGTCATCTTGACCTCTGCCTCCCAAGTCCCCCCCACAGCAACAGTTCCTCCCAGCCTCACCACTTCAGCCCCTGTAATTCGACACCAGCTCTCTCATGACCAAGAATCTGTGGGACCTCCTAGCCTGAACGCCCAGCCCAGCTCAAAGACAGAAAGATCAAAATCATTTGATGAATGTCTGGATGATTATAGAGAAGATGCAAAATTATCCTTCAAGCATGTATCTAGCCTGAAAGGAATCAAGATAATGGACAGCCAGAAGTCATCAGAAGACTCCAGGTCCAGGAAAGGTTCTTCCTCAGAGGTTTTCAGTGATGCTGCCAAGGAAGGGTGGCTCCAGTTCCGACCACTCATCACTGATAAGGGAAAGCAAGTTGGTGGAAGTATTCGGTCCTGGAAACAGATGTATGTTGTACTTTGAGGCCACTCACTCTACTTGTACAAAGATAAAAGAGAGCAAACAACTCTGTCTGAGGAAGAGCAGCCCACTAGCGTTAATGCCTGCCTAACAGACATTTCTTACAGTGAGACCAAGAGGAAAAACGTGTTTCGACTTACCACATCCGACTGCGAGTGCCTGTTTCAGGCCAAGGACAGAGACGACACGTTAGCCTGGATTAAGACTATCCAGGAAAATAGCAACCTAAATGAAGAGGACACTGGAGTTACTAGCAGAGATCTCATTAGCCAAAGAATAAAAGAATATAACAGTTTGATGAGCAAAGCAGAGCAGTTGCCAAAAACACCTCACCAGAGTCTCAGCATCAGGCAAAGTTTGCCTGGTGGTAAATCAGAGACAAAGACTCAAAGCCCACACTCCCTAAAGGAAGAGTCAAAAAGGGAACTTCTCAGTAAAGATGATATCAGTCCCCCAAAAGACAGAGGCACATGGAGGAAAGGCATTCCAAGTATCATGAGAAAGACGTTTGAAAAAAAGCCTGCTGCTACAGGAACATTCGGTGTCAGACTGGATGACTGCCCACCAGCTCATACTAATCGGTATATTCCATTAATAGTTGACATATGTTGCAAATTAGTTGAAGAATGAGGTCTTGAATATACAGGTATTTACAGAGTTCCTGGAAATAATGCAGGGATTTCAAGTATGCAAGAAAAACTCAAAAAGGAAATGGCTGACGTTGATAACCAAGATGATAAATGACAGGATTTGAATGTGATAAGCAGTTTACTAAAACCCTTCTTCAGAAAACTCCCTGAGCCTCTCTTCACAAATGATAAGTATGCTGACTTTATTGAAGCCAATCGTAAAGAGAATCCTCTTGATCGACTGAAAACCTTAAAGAGACTCATAGATTCACGATTTGCCCGAGCATCATTATGAAACACTCAAGTTTCTCTCAGCTCATCTGAAGACAGTGGCAGAAAATTCAGAAAAAAATAAGATGGAGCCAAGAAACCTGGCCATCATTTTTTGGCCCAGCTCTAGTTCAAACATCAGAGGAGAATATGACACACATGGTCATCCACAAGCCAGACCAGTACAAGATTCCAGAGACACTCATCCAGCACCATGACTGGTTTTTCACAGAAGGTGCTGAAGAGCCTCCTACAGCAGTGCAGGAGGAAAACACAGTAGACTCCCAGCCAGTGCCAAACATAGATCACTTACTCACCAACACTGGAAGGACAGGCGTGTCCCCTGGAGATGTATCAGATTCAGCTACTAGTGACTCAACAAAATCTAAGGGTTCTTGGGGATATGGGAAGGATCAGTATAGCAGGGAACTGCTTGTATCCTCTGTCTTTGCAGCTGCTAGTCGCAAGAGGAAAAAGCCAAAAGAAAAGGCACAACCCAGTAGCTCTGAAGATGAATTGGACAGTGTATTTTTTAAGAAGGAAAATGTGGAACAGTGTCATGGTGATACTAAAGAAGAGTCCAAAAAGGAAAGTGAGACTTCAGGCAGAAAACAGAGGATCCTCATTGCCAAAGAAAGTAGAGCTAAGAAAGAGAGCAGCGCATCAAAAGAAAAGACGCTGCTGCGCAAAGAGAGCAGCGCATCTGAGGAGCCGTCGCCGCCCCACAGCTCGAAGCTGAGCAGGTCACCCAGTCTGAGCTGTCGCTTTACCATACTGAAAGAGAGCCGTAGGTGCTTTCCGATGCCTCCCACTCCGGAGAGGCTGGGTCTAACTTTGCTCAGCCTGTCCTCCCAGGCTTCTCTGGCAAGGTTTTCCACTAAGTAATCAACTAGTCCAGAAACGAAACACAGTGAGTTCTTGGTGAATCTCGGCACCATCACCTCAGACTATTTCACGACGTCGTCTACCACATACGTGACGAGCCTGGACTCCATCCTCCTCAGCCCTGAGGTGCAGTCCGTGGCGGAAACCAAGGGAGACGAGGCTGACGACTAGCGCAGTGAGCTGATAAGCGAAGGGTGGCCCGTGGAGACAGACAGTGAGAGCGAGTTTCTCGTTTTCCCCACAGCTTTGGCGTCCGAGAGGCTTTTCCAAGGGAAGCTGCCAGAGGTTACCAAGACAAGCCGGAGAAATTCCGAAGGAAGCAAAGTGAGTTGTACCGAGGGGGAGTTTAACACCCAGTTTAGATAGCCTCAGGCAGCTCTTTAGTTCACACAAACTTATTGAATGTGATACACTGTCCAGAGAAAAGTCTGCTAGATTGAAGTCAGACAGTGGAAGTCTGGGAGATGCCAAGAGACACCTTGAATAACTAAAGTGTTTGATGTCATGAAGAAAGGAAAATCCACTGGGAGTCTGCTACCGCCAACCAGAAATGAATCTGAAAAGCAGGAACCCACTTGGAAAACAAAAATAGCAGATCGGTTAAAACTGAGACCCAGAGCACCTGCTGATGATATGTTTGGACTAGAACATCAAAAAACAAACCCCGAGACTGCTAAATGGAAAAACATCAAACGTCGACACACACTAGGAGGGCACAGAGATGCTACTGAAATCAGCGTTCTGAATTTCTGGAAGGCACAGGAGCACAGTGGGGAGAGAGAATCTGAACTTTCAGCTGTGAATCGGTTAAAACCAAAATGCTCAGCCCAGGACCTCTCAATCTCAGACTCGCTGGCCGGCGAACCCTGGTGCACCAGTGAGTCTGACCCAAGCCGAGGAAAGACGGGAGAGCCCCCGCCGGAGAAACCTAGCACCGCACAAACACCCGCGACCGACACATCTTTGTCGTTTCAGCGCGACCCTGGCAGTTCTTCCAATACCTTGGTTTCAGCCAGTCGGCCCCTTTTTTCCACACCGCCACAGTCACCTGACCAAATCAATGGAGAAAGCTTCCAGAATACGAGCCAGAATGCCAGTTCTGCAGCTGACGCCCATCCTCATAGACTCTCCGAAACCCCCAGCAGTAAGGCACAGTTTCATCCCTATCTTTAACCTGGGGCATGTCCACTCTAGCAAATACAAAGCTACTGTTACACATTCCAGTGACTCTGTAAATATTTTCTTGTACCAGAATTGTTATTATGCAGCCTTCATTTGGGCTCGTTTCATCATTTTGCACTGTGAAATAGCTTTACAGTGCATTACTACAGCCAGAAGAATATATACCTATATCTATATCTATATCTATATATATAAAAGCATATTGGATAGCTGTGCACAAATGAGCAAGGTCTTTGTTGCAACTTACTACATAGCTTATACCCCAACTTACTGAAGAAGAGTGCTGGCATTAGTGTGCACCAAATCTGTTCTTTTGGTTTCATCACTAACAAAAGTGCCTCATCATGAAAGTACATTTGATTTTTAGGGTGCCATTAAAATTACACAACTTGCATCAAATAAACGAATGCATTTTATCAGTAACAAATTTCATTACATTTACTAGTTTTAACACAGGTGGACACAGAATTTCCAGTCCTTAGTCATTCCAGGTGGAGCTGAGTTTTATATTCAAACTTTTAATACAATTTTTGAGTTTTGTGTGACTTGAATTTTTAATCTTTCTGTAAAATACATAACTTAAATGAACATATTCTATGTGTATCTTTTCTTCAGATACCAGATTTGATATAAATGTTGTAACAAAGGTGTGTAGATAGTAGAACCTGGATGGAACTGGCTTCTTTATAAGAATATAATTCTTTATGAGGACTTACTGAATCCAAACCTGTGTCATGCCTGTGTACATACCCAATTAAACACTGGGAATAAAAATTGTTTCAGTGAAAAAAAATAGATTTAGATGCCTCCAAAAAAGCCTGCCATTCATGACTGCATGAGGCTTTGGGGGTACATGTAGACACAAACCATAGATATTTTTGACTCCTTTGATACCTAGAAAGGGAAAAGCTGGGTTACTTGGAATTTCTGCTTTCAGTTTTGTGAGAAATATTTACACTGATTTCCACAGTACTTGTCTTAGTTACTTTTCTGTCATTACTGAGACAAAATATCCAACACCCAATAAAACGGGGAAAGGATTATTTAGTTCAAAGTTTGTGGAGGTCTCAGTCCATAATCAGCTGGCTCCCAGGCAAGGTGGCATGGCAGAGAGGTACAGTTCATGACAGTGGAAGACAGCAAGGCAACAAAGTAAAAAGGGGTGAAGCAAGCTTCTTTTCCTCCCTTATATTGTATTCAGGCTCCCCACCCTAGGGTGAGTGTAGCACTCACACTCCCAATCCCAGCACTAGACAATGAACCAATCAGAAACTCTAGATTCAGCTATCTCCAAAAAGCCTGCCCCTCATGAACACATGAGGCTTTATATCCAGACATAAATCATAACAGTGGTTATATTAGTTTACATTCCCGAAACATTGTAGAAAGTTTTGTTTCTCATTGCAGACTCATCAGCATCTGTTATTATTTGATTTCTTAATGGCCATTCTTTCTGGATTAAGATGGCATGTCTGTTTATTTTAATTTGTGTTTCTTTAATGGCCAGTGGTGTTGGACATTTCTTCATATATTTATTTGCCATTTGTACTTCTTCTTCTGTGAAGTGCCTGTTCGTTTCTTTTTTTTTTTTTTCTTTTCCTTTTTGAGACAGGGTCTCGCTATGCAGTTCAGGCTGGCCTTGAGCGCAATTTGCAGCCCAGGCTGGTCTCGAACTCGCAACGATCCTCCTGCCTCAGCCTCCCTAGTGCTGGGATTACAGGCGTGCGCCACCACGCCCAGCTCTAAGAATTTTTTTTTTCCCTTTGTTTTTTTGTTGTTTCGGTACCGGGAATCAAACTCATGACCTCAGACTTGCCAGGCAAGCACTTATGCCGCTAAGCTACATCCCTAGTGCCTGTTCATTTCACTTGCTCATTATTTTTTAGATTAGGTCTTTTTTGGGCCAGGTCTTAATTTTTTGAATACTTTATATATTCTACATACAAGTCCTCATTCTGAGGAATGCCTGGCAAGAAATATTTTCCCTTTCTGGATGTTGCCTTTTCACTCTTTTGGTTGTTTCTTTTTGGTATGCAAAAGCTTTTTAATTTGCTATGTTCTCATTTGTTGATTTTGGGAACTATTTACTATGCAACTGGGGTTTTGTTCAGAAAGTCCTTGCATATGTGTATAACTTCAGAAGGTACACCTAGTTTGTCTTCCAACAGGGTAAGTGCTTCTGGTCTAGCACTTACTTCTTTAATCCATTTTGATTTTAGTTTAATACATCGTGAGAACTAAAGGTCTAAATTCAGCCTCTTGTATGTGAATAGCCAGTTTTCCTAACACAGTTTATTAAAGAGGCTTTCTTTCCTCCTGTTTTTGTTTTTGACCCCTTTGTGAAAAAGCAAGTAATTGAATGTATTTGGGATTTCTTATACACCCTCTACTCTGTTCCATTGATCCTCATATCTGTTTTCTGGTTATTTATTTGTTTGTCTTATTTTGTTTTTGTCTTTTTGAGACAAAAACATTCCAGGCTGGCATTGAGCTCACTTTGTAGGCCAGGATGGTCTTGAACTGGTGACGATCTACCTGCCTCAGCCTCCAAAGTGCTAGAATTACATGTGTGTACCACCATGCCTGGAAAAATACAATGACCTTTTTGGGGTGGCTACCAGGAATCAAACTCAAGACCTTGTACTTGGCAGGCAGGCACTGCGTCACAGAGCTATATCACTGGCTCCTTATATCTGTTTTTGTACTACTATCATGCTGTTTTTATTACAGTATCTTTGTCATATAACTTCAGGTCTAAGATCAGGATGCTCCTCCTTTGCTCTTTTTACCCAGGATTGCTTTTGTATTCTGGGTCTCTTCTTGTTCCCTATGAATTTTAGAACTGTTTTGTCCTGTTCTATCTGCAAAGAATCCTGTTGAATTTTGCTTGGGATTTGTAGTAAATATGTAAATTTGTATGTCAATTATGTAAATAGGTCTATTGACTATATTGATTCTATCTGTCTAGGACCGTGGAATATCTTTCCATTTTCTGATGTCCTCTCCTATTTCCTTTTTCAGAGGACTGAAGATTTTTTGTGTGCAGGTCATTTAATTCATTAGATTAATTCCTAGATATTTAATTTTTTCATCTTATTTTGAGTGGTATTTTTCCTTTTTTTTTCTCAGTGGGCTCATTATTCAGGTACAGAAATGATGGTGATTTGGGGTAATTTTGCATTCTGCTATATTACTGAATTTTTTATTAATTTTAAGAGCCTTTTGGTAAGGTATTTTGTGTGTTATAAATAAAAGATATGTCATCTATAAATAATGATACTTTGATGTCGTCCTTTCCTATACAGATTCCTTTTATTTATTTCTCTTCATTGATTGCTCTGGTCCATATTTCAAGGATTATATTGAATAGAAAGTGGTGATAATCTCCATTTTTGTTTTGTTCTTAATTGTAGAGGAAAATTCTTCAGTTTTCCCCGATTGAATATGATGTCTACAATGTTTCTCATAAATAGCTTTTACCAGAGAAATACGGTCCTTCAATATTATTTTCATCAGTATTTTTATCCAGAAAAGAGTCCAATTGTGCCAAAGGCTTTTTCTACATCTACTGATGTGATCATGTGATTTTTGACCTTACTTATATTTATGTGATGAATGACATTTATCAATTTGCATATATTGAATCATCCTTGCATCTTTGAGATGAAGCCTCCTTGGTTATAATATATGATCATTTTTTTCTGATATGTTGCATTCTGTTTGTCAATATCTTGTTAAGGATTTTTGGATTTGTATTCATTAAATAAATTGCTATATAATTCTGTTTTATGTTTGGAACAGTGTCAAGGTAATGGTAGCTCCCAAGAAAGATTTTGGGAGTACTCTTTCTCCTTTAATTTCATTAAAAACTTAAGGAGTATTGAAATTAGAACTTCTCTGTAGTTTTTGTAGAATTCAGCAGTGAACTTATCTGGACCTGGGTTTTTCTTAGTTGGTGGGTAATTTATTACTGCTTGAATTTCATTGCCAGTTAGTTGATTATTCAGGTTTTTAAAATATTCTTAGGCCAATTTTGATAATTCATATGTATCTAAGAATCTATTCATTTCTACTGAATTCTTTAATGTTTTGCTGTACAAGTTTGTGAATTAGTTGTTAATGAGATTTTTTTTTTTATTTCAGCAGTTCTCATGTCATTTCACCTTTTGTTATTTCTAACTGCATTTATTTGGGTCTTTCCTCTTTGGTTAGATTTGCTAAGGATTTGCCTATTTTGTTTACATTTTTGAAGAGCCAATTCTTCAATTCATTAATTCTTTGTATTTTTGTTGCAATTTTATTGGTTTCTGCTCTACCCTTCTTAATTTCCTTCCTTATGCTAGATTTGTATTTGGTTTGTGCTTGTTTTCCTACTACCTTAAAGTGCATCATTAGATTACTTTCTTGGGCTCACTCTGCTTTTCAGATATGGGTTTTCATAGAAACAATCTTCCCCCTTAGGGCTGCATTCATTGTGTTCCATATGTTCTGGTCTGTTGTATAGGCATTATCATTTAGTTCTAGAATTTTCTTTGACTTTTTTCTGTAATCCATTGTTTAGTTAAAAGTGTATGGTTTACTTTCCACGCATGTGCATAATTTCTGTGTTCTCTTTTTGATTGATTTTTAACTTCATTGGAGTATTGTCTAATAATATGCATGGTATAATTTAAGTTCATTATATTTACTTAGTTGATTTAATGGCTCTTTCATTATCTATTTTGGTGCTATATACTGCTGAAAAGAGTGCATAATTTGTTGTTTTGGGTGGAACACTGTACACAAATATTAAGTGCATATGTTTGAAGGTTTTGTTCAACTCTGATATTTCTTCCCTGATTTTTTTACCTCATTCATCTGTTTGTGTGTTAGTGGGATTTTGAGGAATCCCACTATAATTGTGTTTATTTTTATCTGTTCTTTTATGTCCATCAGTATGTATTTATAAATTTGGTTGCACTGTTGTGCAGTTCATATATGTTAATAAATATTACATCTTCCTGTTGGATTGGTCCCTTAACCGACATATAGTGACTTTCTTGGCTTTTTTTTCATGAGTTTTAGCTTGAAGTTCACTTTGTTGGAGTATTAGATAGCTATACTTACTTTCTTTCAGATTCATGTTGCAAGGGCTGTTGT